CAGATGCATCTATTGTTAATTATTTTAGCTTATTGAGCAATATTACTTGTCTTCTAAGACTACTCAAAGCAATATGTTAAAAACTCTAATTCAATAGACTTCTGTAACTAGATACTCATAATTCTAATATCATGGTTACATACTGTTTCTACAAACCTGCACATAAAACTTGTCTGATTATTGCGTACTTATAATGTTAATATGAACCTCCCTTCGAATATCTAAAGATTTTATGGTAGCCTAACCTGTATAAAAGTATGGTACTGAGTACAGAAACAGAAGCTTCTTTTTTTGGATAAGATTTCAGTCAATAGCCTGTGAGTAGATGGTATTATTAGATTTTAGACAATGTAATTCACACTTGATTGTAGTCATAATAGTATTCAAAGTTGGAATCAGATGATCATCACTGTACTACGACAGAGTGCGTCTGAATCCCATAATAAGGATGACAACTATTTGGTCCATCATTTGACTCTTCGACGTGTTTTTTCTGGAAATTACTTCATTTTGTTTAATGATATTCTGGTGAATTATCCAAGATTAATTACAACACAATAACGATTAAACATCAAAAATTGGGGTCTCTACTGGAGTTTGCCTATCAGCACAATAACTGCGCAGCGTCGTAAATGATCATTCATCGTTAATAGATTATTAGTTGACACAAAATCTTTGCGAAACAAGCAACTCATGAATAACATACTAATATCAATTTCATTTAATAGTTGAATTCATGGGTCAATTAAAGCTAGACTACCATGGAAAACCTGGAAGTACTGGATGGCCGTTTTGTCCTAGTATGGGACGATCCCGCTCACGGGATTCAAACCCAGGACCTATCGCTGTCGTGCGTGAACGCTTAAACTCTAGACCACTGATCTGGCATTCAACAGTGTTAATGTTTAACTTCAAACAATCCATGGAATTACACCACCATCCATCATTACCTTCAGTGAGTTACTATCTCACAACAGACCTGGTAGTCTAGCTTTAATTGACTAATGAATACAACCATGAAATTACTAAAATCTCCACAAATATTGCCCTTTCTTTTATCAAATAGTAAATAACAATTGTTCATTTTACTTTCATTATAGAGAAAATGTATCACTTGCGGAATATGAACGAGTATGTATGGCATATAAAGATTTATATAGACGTCATCAAGAATATGAACGAATTATTCTTAATTCAGATAATCAAAAATTTATTATTAAAAGTAATGATTTTCAATAGAAACGACAATATTGTTGATTTCACAATATCTCAGGTACTTCAATTACATAATAATGTTTGTTTAGATTTGTCATATTGTTTATTTATTTAAACACATAAACATTGGTACAAGAAGGCACCAAATACATATGCACCACATAAATCGAATGATTTATGAGGAGGCTAGGATACTACCCGGATGCCCAGACTGAAGCAGGTGGTTTTCTTAGGTGGCCACACCCCGAACCGTTGACCTAAAGGTCTTATCCACGAGGCAGTGGAGCAACGTCGGGAGATGCGGTCTCATGGTAGCCGGTGACCAACGATTTTTCCCTCAGGATCCTGGAGCTCATGTGCACCATAGGTTTGGGATGAGGGCCTTGTAACTTCCCGAGGTGAATCCTCTATATCCACCCCCAAATGCCCTGTTACGGCCGAGGGTGGAGAGAGTCAACTGTCCCTCTCGAAATGCTCACACATGGCCACGTACATACAACCAATGCCGGGGAATTCCTACTCACCGCTTTTTCGTGGCGGGGGTATTGTTTACGAAATTGAGTAGACGAAAAGCGAATATCCGACGCTTTAACGGGGTTGGTGGATTTAGTGTCATATTGTTAAAGTAATGAGAATTCAGGAGTACTTAACGGGTCGACTTATTTCCAATCATCATCAACATTTGAAATATTCTACTGTATTTCTTAAAAACAAACTACTACTCTGACGCATGCAGTTTATGTTATCATTTCTTTAATGTTATTTTTTCACTTGATATGGTGGTTTCCAGGTATTTTGATAATATTAGTACTAGAAAACTAGAAACATAATATATCGTTAATTTTATTCTTAACAACCTACCAAATTCTCAATTAATCTTGAGACTTGGTAATGATACTTAAGTGCTCATTTCAATTATCGCTATCACTTTAAATACAATATATCTCAGTCCTACAGTATGTATATTACGACCCGCATGCATCAGTGGTAACGTCTCTAGTTGTGAAGTTGTGTGACATGGGATCAAATCTATCAGGGAGCACCAGTTCCTTCAAGATTACAAGTACACCTTACTGACGAGTGGCAAATAGCGTGAAACCTAGGTCCAGGGTTTCCTGCTGACTACCTCCAACCACCATCTTATCTCAACATAGTGCACCCAATGTCGAGTCACCTAGACTAGTGGCCACGTTGCAAGTTATAATCTATTAATCACCAACTATTAGATGTTACTTACTGGGATTTTTTGTAATCTCTCGTTCTAAATGAAATCATGAACTGATCAATCGTAGACAATCATTAAATCCTGGAAACACTGGACGGCCGTTCCGTCTTAGTATGAGACTCCTCAGCAGAGCACATTCACGATCTCACACAAAAATTCTGCCGAGTGCTTCCATAGTGTTCAATAGTGGTCCAACAGTGATCAATCCATGATCTCAACTAAAACTCAACAATCTGACAATCACTTGTTTGTCGTTTTTGATTCTCTCTACATTTACAATTTTTTCTAGCTTTCCAGATTTCATATCAATGCAACATGATCTTGAAAGTATATAACTAATCTGAGGTTTTATATATCAATTTCATTAATACACTTAATGATAAATCTAAACTAGATGGATACAACCCAATTAGACTTACCTATCTATAATTCATTGAAACAATAATAACAATTGAGATCCAATGTGAAATTCCTTTTCTCATATTCTTTAATTATTACTTGATAATAAACAAAATTTAACATAAAATATTGCATTTCTGTCTATTATATATTGAAATCATGAGCCAATTGAAGCTAGACCACCATGGAAAACCTGGAAGCACTGGACGGCGGAATCGTGGATGCGCACTGCTGAAGAGTCCCATACTAGAACGAAACGGCCGTCCAGTGCTTCCAGGTTTTCCATGGTGGTCTAGCTTCAATTGGCTCATGATTTCAACCTGTGAAATTTCTAAAAATCTCCACAAAACCCATTCTGATATTATATATTGAATAAACAAAAGTTGAAGTTTTAAAACCCTTCTCATTACCTCCCCGAAAACATTATTTATTTGAACACATAAATATTGATACAAAGTGGCACCAGATATATATGCGTCACACAATAACAATAAGAATGGGAAGAGAAAAAGAATGTAGGATGCATGTAAAAAGGAAAAATTAGTGTATGGTAGTGAAATAGTAATAATAATAATGGGGCAAACAGAAAGGTACAACCAGAAAGAATCCTTTCACTTAAAGAAGTTACGGTCACTTTTTATGAAGAAAGTAAAAGAAGGTTACAGCAGGATCGCCACTGGCTTCTATTCTGAGCTATATCTGATAACGTCTCAAGCCACTATGTTGCACTATTTCTAGGAATCTAACCAGGGAGTCGTGAAGGAGCAACGGAAGCCAGTCCTGTGCAGTTTTCTTTCATTTCACGACACCATGTTATACACTGACCACCTCTCCGCACGACGAGGAATTCTTTGGGGGGACATTCGTAGAACATGTCCAAGCCACCGAAGTCGATGTTTCAAGATAGTGACAACAATTGAATTATCGTCTCTGCGCCCGAACAAACGATGCCGAACCTCTGCATTACAAACATGGTTTTTCCACTGGATGTTAGCAATCCTTCGGAGACAACGATGATCAAACACAGAGAGTCATCTAACATCCTCAACTCGGAGAAGCCAGGTTTCACAAACATAGAGCAAAACTGCGCTCACCGATGCGTTGTAAATCTGACCTTTTCGTTCTCTTAATTTCGTAAACAACACCTCCACCACAAGAATGCAGTGAGTAGGACTTCCCTGGCAGAGGCTATATACGCATGGCCATGTGAGAGCATTTCGAGAAGGAAAGAGGACTCTCCCCACTCTCGGCCGTACCAGGGTATTTAGGGGAGAAAACATTAAACTATATTAACTTTTGTTTGTTCGACCATTGTTTATAGAAAGTCAAGTACAAACACTACATACCATAAATCAATCACCTCAAACATGGTAATTAATTCCACGTTTCGATACAAAACTTCCAGATACATCTATTCTGTTAGAGCTGGAGATAATAATAAAGCTGTTCTAATGGAAAATATGACATAGTTTGAGTACAAAACCCACTTGTTCATATTTAACTTTCGAAATCAGCTAATTATAGTTATAAGCAGTGATAAATCCGGGATTAATTATTCACATTCACTTATATAGCCTGCTACTATAAAACGACTGTCTGCAATTGATATAAATTTACCAATCTCCCTAATACGCTGTAGTGAGTTTACTCACGCATGTAGCAGTGTGGAGTACATCAACTATGTACATTCATGCATTAAAGTTTAAACATCAACGTACTGAACTACAGATAGTTATCATGTGTTAGGAAATTAACTTATGAAAGAAAACTACTTATTGCATAAACTATCATCGCTGGATCTCCCCCCCCGTTAAAACGATTTAACATAAAAATATGCAAGAAGCTGAAATCCCCATTCAGGTGATCCAGAAGACTTTTTAAATGGATAAATACAAGAATGAATGGGGAAAATCCAGCTACAACAGAGGTTAAGACGTTTTTCGTTAGTAATGTGATTGATCGAATCGATATCGCTGGGACCTTTCTTTGGTATTTTGGTTCTACTTTTTGTCTTAATTAAACTTAGGGTAAAATACTGATTAACGCTATCATCCTAAAAGGATACCCACTTTTGTTGCAATAAAAGAACATACAATTCATCTTTTTCGCTGAAAAATGACTATATTATCCATAAAAATATTATATGTACACAACTGTAGTAGGAACGTTTACTCGTCATCTTGCGGAGTACGTATACTTCGGTTAGACGTAGGACGTCGTTTGAACACAATACGAGCTGTTGTGTTAGAATTAGGCTGTCGTACTTTAGTATCCTCACTATTGGTTTGCTTAGTGGTTTCAGCTACGTAACTACTATGAGTAGTTACCTGGTCTTTAGGACTGAAGAGAGTTGGATTTTCGTAATACTTTTCCGTTGTCGCTTCCAACTGTGCAAGTACAGCCAGTTTTCCATCTAAATTTGGAGATCCGAAGCTTCCAACATCATTGGAGGCATCAGGAAGATCAAGCTTGGGTAATTTGGGCCTAGGACTTCATCAAACGAAAGGAAACGAGATATGGAGACATTAAGTAAACTAATAAACATAATTGTACTGAGACACTTAAGACGGTGAAGGCTTGTATTAGTATTGACGTTATTATAAACATAATATTATTAACTGCAACTGTTAGCGGGACATAGACTAGATTAAAGCATGCTCAATGCATGATTGCTTTGGTGCACGATGATTGGTTAATTCTTATCCAATCAGCACTAGTCGATAGTTGGAGAATACTCTGGAATCTTCTTATGTAAAAACTATAAATATACTGACGTTTTCCCTATTGTGCTTCTGGCTTGCATCTTGCCTCCATCTAACCTTGTTATTTGGAATATAATCTCTTTCCTGTTCAACCGTGTTCTGATTTGGGGACTTGTCGAGTGAATCGGTGTCCAAGAATACTAAGCAATAGGAATAGCTAGGTCATAACCGTAAGAAGAAAGAGATTATAACAGCAACTGAAAGCCGTTTACAGCACATTAAAAGCCTCGAAATATAATTGATTCATTTTACCCAGTACATCTAGTCATTCTCGCTTTATTTCAATAGAGAAATAGGTAAATATATAAAACTTATGAAAAGAAACTACATGCTTATACCATTGAGCCATTTCAGCGATTTTAGGCTCATTTTACATAATAGCTCATTAAACTAGTATTTACTTTTCCACACCATTGTAACCAACAATAATCTATTTCAAAGTGTGTTATTCTAGACTCCGGTCAAGCTTGACATATTTTAATCAACTACTTCAATTAAAAATATATTTTATAGGTGGCAGTTCGATACTTACACTATGTACACTATGTGAGTATTTACATTCTTATCAAATCACTTGCCATTATTAATTGAAAGTAAACAAGTTACTCAAGCATTTCTTACTTGATTACTTATAAAATATCTAAGATTGAATGCTTTTGTCATCTACATTCCCATTATTTTCCTCAACCATATCCAATAATGTAAGACAAAATAATGTTTATTGGTTAGCGCCTTCAACCTTAGACTACTAGTCGAGAAGTTTGAATTCTACTGAGACAACTACGTTCTAGGTAACTCAGTAAAATCCCTATCGTTCAAATAATTGCAGCTATTTTAGTAGGTAAACAGGTTCTAGTGTATCCCGTAAGATCTAAGTTATATTTCAACAGAAATAAAAATATGAACTTTTTTCTGGTTCAATAATTGAGAAACGTTTGTAGACTACTTACGTATCATCACAAGGAACCCACGGACCAAGTAAGTCAATTTGTGGACCTTGGAATTGAACAGGTGTTGGAAGGTTCACACTTTTCGGCTTCTTATCGGATGTGCCATCTGATATTTTTTCTATGATAGGCTCGATATCTGATGTAGGTACATTAAACACTTGTAATACTGCCTCATTGGCTCCTTTGGATCCATGTTCGCTTAACTCCACAAGACGATTTAAGACGAATTCTTTTAGTCTGGTTTTTTCTTCTTTCACTGGTCGTTGGTCCGGCTCTATAATGCCATCTGGCCGTGTCCACTGAGTAACACGGGTAGCCACATTCCAATAATAATGTTTGCCATCTGGGGTGATTGATTCCTTCCAAACATTTGCACGACTGGATGGATCAGGACGAGATTTATCAGCAACTGATTTCCCTGTTTTACTAGAAGACTCTTCGTTCAATTTTCCTTCACATGGTGACTCTTCGAATGTTAAATATAACGTAAAACAAGCAGTTACTTGCTAGCACGACTCCATACTGTTTTGCCAATGATGGGTCTCTTTCTAGATCTTTCATCATACTTAAGTGGGCACTCTGGATATTTAAAAGGATAACTTGGAATTTAAAACAATTACATCGTTTATTTGTTGTAAGCACGCCTCTAAATTCTTCCTTTCCATTTCAGCACACTTATTGCTACGGGTCAATTCATTAACTTTTTTAGCTACACTAGCTTTATGTCGCATACCATTCTCATGATTTTGGATGCTCTGTTCAAAGTACACGTGGGATAATAATGAAAAAAGAATTAATATCTTACGATTTTGTTGTCAGCCATCCAACATTTGCATAATTCGCAATACTTCTTTGGGTTACTTTTCCAATAATCGGCCATACCAACTAGAGATAGTAGCTGGAACTACAGAACGATATTATAACATATACAGAAAATTAGGCATACGGTACGAATAATTAAGAATTCGTAAACAAGTATGATTGGAAAAGAAAATTTCAAAAAGCGTCTATGTATTATATTGTGGTTCCGATTTGAATGACACTCACCATTCGACAAACTCCATATTTCTTAGATTTAAAAAGCTACACATGAACATATATGTATCCACTGTTACGAGATAGGCAATATGGCAAATAAATATTTAATAAGGCAGTAGAAATATGAGAACCAGTACCAAGTTGGCCATGCATATTATGTGGTCTTAAAAGGTATAACAGTCTGACGTTTTTGTCGACCCGAGCCGTTCATTAATGCATCTTTGTAAAATATGACCATTACCACTTTAAAATAAGTTGAGCAATGGGTAGAAAGTTATTAATAAATATTCTTTTTGTGATATCCCTATGAATAGAAAATTGTATTTTTGGTGTTTCGTGACTTAGCGTAAGCCACTTCTTCAGAGTAGATAAATGGATGAAACTAAGTTAACACAAGTTGTGTTAAATTTATCTCGGTTACTTTCCACTCTTTGGGTTATCACAAGAAAATATATTTATTATGATCTTTACTACGTATGAGGTGCACTTCCTAAATAAAAGGTAAGAACTATTGAGATTTAGGTAATATAACAAAAAATGGACCGCAGAAGCACAAATAAATACATCTCCCATAACCGCGAAAATGTAATTACATACCCTTCCCGAATCTTTTGTCTTGATAAATTTTGAGAACATGAGTAGTGAAGAGCACAATACTTAGGAAAGGTGTGATATTATAAGGACAAACATTTACTAACAGGAAGGTAGCAACATTCTGAATACTACCTATTCATCGAATGCACCACTTCTGTTATGACGAGATACTTGTTAAACCGCTTGACATTTATTAGCATCCCCCGAATGCCCTGGTACGGCCGAGAGTGGGGAGAGTCCTCTCCCTCTCGAAATACTCTCACACGGCCACGCGTATACAGCCTCTGTCAGGGAAGTCCTACTCATTGCCTTCTCATGGCGGGGGTGTTGTTTACGAAAATGAGAGGACGAAAGGTGAATGTCCGGCGCTTTAACTGGATTCTGAATCAATGGTGTACATGGGCTCCAGTATCCTGCAGGAACAAATGGCGTATGAACTAATTTTCGGTCACCGGCTACCATGGGACTGCATCTCCTCACGATGCTCCACTGCCTTGTGGGTTAGACCTTTAGGTCAAAGGCTCAAGGGTGTGGCCCCCTAAGAAAACCACTTTCTTCGGTCTGGGTACCCGGGCAGTATCACAGCCCACACGCAAATGATGAACTCTCTATATCTATGGAAACTACTTTTCTCGCCTCGAAAAACATTCAAATGATTCAAATTATTATCATTACTATTATTTTCATTATTATTATCATTATTACTATCACTATTATTATTATTATTTTCCACATTATCCACCCTCTTTTATACTTATGCAGCGGCTCGTCTTTGGTGGAAATCCGACTGTATCTAAACGTTCTCGAGTCACTGTCCGGTTGAAAATTGTATGTTACTACCGAATACGAGGACTGAAGCAGTTTTTCTGAAATCACGTGCACCATTCAAACTGGCTGCCTTCAACGTTCGCACATTTATGCAGGTCGGACAACAGATAGGGCTGGCTATGTCTTTGGAAAGTTTTAATATTGATGTTTGTTGTCTATCCGAAACCCGTATTCAAGACTCTGGCGAAGTACTACAAATTCGATCTCCATCTGTCGCTTCAAAAAGCTTGTTTTACGTGCGCTTATCCGGGGACCCTGTGGCATTTTCGTCTAGTCTTGCTGGCGTTGGTGTCGCACTAAGCGCTAGAGCTGAGGCAGCACTAGTCGATTGGATCCCCATTAACAGTCGGTTATGTGCTGTTAGATTAGAAAGTTCCATCAAAGTGAGAAGAATTCGGCGTGAGAAACGATGTCTTTTCGTCATCTCCGCCTATGCCCCCACAGATTGCAGCCCGGATGCAATCAAGGATGAGTTTTACCACCAGTTATCTGTTCTTCTCCAGAAAGCGCGTTCGACAGATACTGTAGTACTAGCTGGAGACTTGAATGATTAGGTCGTGCGTCTAGACACAGAAGAGAGTCGTTTAGGTGGCCGATGGGGACTCGTTGGTCGCAGGTCAGATAACGGGGACCGTCTACTGCAACTGTGCACAGACCACAACCTGTTTCTGGCTAGCACTAACTTTAGGCACAGTCATCGCCGATGTGCCACCTGGCGTCCTCCCTCTGCATCCCAAGCCTGGACTCAGATTGGTCACATCGCGATCAGCTACCGCTGGCGTGGTTGTGTACAAGACTGCCACTCCTTTTGGAGTACCTATCTGGACTCTGACCATGCCTTGGTCTGCGCCAATCTTGCCTTACTTTTCAGTGGAAAACGAAGTGACCGCTACCAACGAATTGATGTTAGCAAGCTGGTTGCAACTTCTGTTGCTAGTAAGTATCGAACCGATCTAGTTTCTAGGCTAGCTACCATTCCGCAAGGAACTCCAACTCTTGAAGCGTTACAAATCACCTGGCCCAGATGGCTTACCTCCGGCTCTTTTTAAAGATGATGGTGACTTTTTGACTAAGGAATTGACGACGTTGTTTACAAAGGTTTGGGTGTTAGAGAGTGTACCAACGTCATGGAATGAGTCCATAGTTGTCCCTATCTTTAAAAAGGGTTCATGTCGTTCCTGTAACAACTATCGGGGTATAAGTCTACTTCCGATTACGTCCAAGCTATTGGCTTCCGTCATACTTCGTAGGTTGTTCAAAACCCGAGAACGATTGACTCGCGAGGAGCAGGCTGGGTTTCGTTCTGGTCGAGGATGTATTGATCATATCTTCACCCTCCGCCAAATGTTAGAACACCGCCATACTTATCAAAGGCCAACAATCATAGTGTTTCTTGACATCAGGGTTGCCTTCAATTCGTTGGACAGGACTGTTCTCTGGGATTGTCTATTGAAGAAGGGTGTGCGTGAGAAGTTTGTTAACATCCTAAAAGCCCTATATACAAACACCTCAGGCAGAGTGAGGGCATACAACCACCTCTCTCCATTGTTCTATTCGAGTAGTGGGGTTAGGCAGGGTTGCCCAATCTCACCATTTCTCTTCAACTTTGCCATCGATGACATTCTGGAAACAGCTCTGATGAATGTAAGTAATGATGGTGTGGATCTGTTGCTTGGAGAAAGACTTATCGACCTTGAGTATGCGGATATCGTTGTCTTATTGTGCGATAATGCCCAAGGCATGTAATCCACACTTAATCAGTTGGCAATCAGTGTCCGTAGGTATGGTATGTGCTTTGCACCTTCGAAGTGCAAAGTACTTCTACAAGGCTGGCAGGATTCCAATCCTGTACTCACCCTGGATGGTGAGCAGATAGTAGTCGAGAAGTTCGTGTATCTGGGTAGCTGCATAAGTGCTGGTGGGGGTATGAGTGATGAGATCAATGCACGTATAGTAAAAGCCAGAGCGACTTATGCCAATCTGGGCCATCTTTGGCGCCTTCGTGATGTTAGTCTGGCTGTAAACTGTCAGATCTACAACGCGTCAGTGAGAGCAGTTGTGCTCTATGTTTGTGAAACCTGACCTCTCCGAGTTGAGGACGTTAGACGACTCTCTGTGTTCGATCATCGCTGTCTCCGAAGGATTGCTGACATTCAGTGGCAACACCATGTCAGTAATGCAGAGGTTCGGCATCGTGTGTTCGGGCACAGAGATGATAATTCAATTGGTGTTACCATCTTGAAACACCGACTTCGGTGGCTTGGACATGTTCTCCGAACGTCGTCCCAGAGAATTCCACGTCGTGCATGATTTGCCGACTCTGAGACTGGTTGGAAGACGCGGAGAGGTGGTCAGTGCATGACATGGTGTCGTGGCATGAAAGAAAGCTGCAAAGGACTGGCTTGCTTCACGACTCCCTGGTTGGGGTCCTAGAAATGGTGTGACACAGTGGCTAGAGACGTTATCAGATATGGCTCAGAATAGAAGCCAGTGGCGATCCTGCTGTAACCTTCTTTTACTTTCTTCATAAAAAGTGGTTGTGTCTCCCTTACCTGAAAGATTTCTTCCGATTGTACCTTTGCGTTCCCTGATTACTAGCACATTACCTTACACCAATCTCTTCGTAATTGTTCTATTTTTACGCTCCTTAGATTTTTTTCTTTTTTCTCTTCGAATTCTGATTGTTTTGTGTGGCGCATATATATTGGCGCTCTCTTGAACCAATATTTGTGTTCAAGTAAATAAATAGTCATTCTATATTCATCCAAAAGAAGCATATATTAAATGCAAAAAAACCGTGACACCGTAATTTAAAGGCGACTTTCAAACGACGCTAAAGTAGCCTTCTGACGACTCACCTATTTATCAAGGTCAAAAGAGGGTTGTAATCTAATATGAGGACCTGGTATCGAGTTAAAATTTATGGTTAGGAATCAAAAGTTTTCATCACGAACTGACAGCTATATTGTAGTGGTTAGAGTCCGGCCAAGTATTCTGCGTACTAAGGGAGCATTATGAGTGCGTAAGGCTAGGGAAAAGAAAGCAAAAGGTTAGTCGACGAGACAGGAAGAGCAGAAAATGCACTTAAACTTAATAACGAAACCAATTAACAACAATCAGAAATAACAGTCCTTAAACTAAAACAATCTTGAAATCGGACTAGAAGCAGATGGTTCAACCCGCCATATGTATCAATGAAATTCGCGTTAAAATTCGATTTGCCATCCTTAATCTCACTGGTTTGTCCATATAAATCATAGTCTTGCCAAAAAAGTAGATCGAGGAAGGCACTTTGCAACGAAGTAGTTAGCTGACTGACCGAAAACTTAGTAGAAGAATTCCCATTGCCCATCTAATACTATGCCACACATTACTATATTTGAGACATTGTTGCTTATGTGAAGATGCAGATCTACTTTG